GTCTGTCGCATTATCCTATAGCAAAATTCTATAGGACATAATGCAATGGAAATTACAAAAATAAACTTATTTATACAGTATATATATATATGCTGCGGAACTAAGTTTGTAAGCTAGTTTAGATATAGGTACTTGTCAAACTGTCAACTATGAACGAGAAGCAAGTAGAGCAAGATTCTAGATAAAAAGTTGGCGAGCAGCAAGAATTAAGTGTATATAGTTATGTGCCAAATCGATTGAGAAAAACGGACAATGACCTTTCGGTCGTTTAACCAGAGGTTACAAACCTTCAATATATAGGCACATTTTATATGTAGTACTTTCTTTATTTATAATGTTTTTTTATAATGGTTGATATAATATATATATTTATTAACTATTATTAAAAAGTTATGTAAAAGATCGCTGTAGAAAAAAAATCATCTATTGTTATTAAGTACTTTATTCATTTAACAACAAAAAGCATTAATTTATAACACATATAAAGGTTCAAGTGATAACGACACCGAATAAGTACGTACTAATTCAAAAGTTAAAACTTTATTTTCAATATTACATAAGAACTTTATTAATATTCGGTGCATACGGACCGACCCAAAGAAGGTGACGCATTTCTGACTGCCTTTCTTTTACAACAAACTGACGTAACGCTCGTTTTGTTTATTTTAAAGGGATGAATTTGCAAAAGCTCAATATGGTGATTATATTGCTTCAATTTTTTTAATATGAAACTGTTATTAAAGGAATTGGTGCTTTACTTGCAATTAATTGAAATATAAAATATAACACATTTTTCGCGATGTACCGTAAGATTTTACGATGTTTATAGGAACCACAAAAAAAAACATATTTGCTGAGCTAGAAGCGTGAATAATATCAATATTCGAATATTGTTATCACATCTAAATTGAGATTTTGTAAGTTACGCCTTTTGACACTCGGCTCATATCTGAGGTCATTGTCCATTTTTCTCAGTCGATTTGGCACATACTATAGTTCTGATAGTTTTGTCGCTGGGCTATAAGAGATTGTACGAGTTGTTCTAAATTAATAGTAAATAATTGCACTCAGATCCGCAACTTATAGTAAAATGTTCGTTCCGTTAGTTCTAACCGCCAAGCAAGCATTTATTTGAGAGTTTTAGCATTAATAGCTCTTGTCGCTGCGACAAAATAGTGGAGAGAAAGTTCTGACCTGCAGTATAAACAGCCAGTGACCAATTGTCAATATTCGTATCTCTTATATTGATACTGGATCCATATCTATCTATTGCTCGTTTCTTTAACGAGAAAATGGTCAAAAGCTAATAGTTTCCACTTTGGCGGTGGAACTTGTGACTTTTCATACGTGGTAGAGCCACGCTGCAGCATATTGTTCGTTTCTTTAACTAGAAAATAGTCAATAGCTAATCGCTTTCTTGTCAGTGGTGAAACAAGTGACTTTTCATACGTAGTAGAGTCACACTGCAGCATATTGTTAGTTTCTTTAACGAGAAAATAGTCAATAGCTAATCGCTTCGACGTCGCCGGTGGAACAAGCGACTACTCATACGTGGTAGAGCCACGCTGCAGCATATTGTTAGTTTCTTTAACGAGAAAATAGTCAATAACTAATCGCTTTCACGTCGCCGTGGTGGAACAAGTGACTTTTCATACGTGGTAGAGCCACACTGCAGCATATTGTTAGTTTCTTTAACGAGAAAATAGTCAATAGCTAATCGCTTCGCTTTCACGTGTAGAGCCCGCTCGTCGTTTGGTGCTTTCTGGTGGTGGAACAAGTGACTTTTCATACGTTGTAGAGCCACACTGCAGCATATTGTTCGTTTCTTTAGAGAGAAAATAGTCAATAACTAATCGCTTTCACGTCGCCGTTGGAACAAGTGACTTTTCATACGTGGTAGAGCCACACTGCAGCATATTGTTAGTTTCTTTAACGAGAAAATAGTCAATAGCTAATCGCTTTGACATCGGCGGTGGAACAAGCGACTTTTCATACGTGGTAGAGCCACGCTGCAGCATATTGTTCGTTTCTTTAGAGAGAAAATAGTCAATAACTAATCGCTTTCACGTCGCCGTTGGAACAAGTGACTTTTCATACGTGGTAGAGCCACGCTGCAGCATATTGTTCGTTTCTTTAACGAGAAAATAGTCAATAGCTAATCGCTTTCACGTCGACGGTGGAACAAGCGACTTTTCATACGTGGTAGAGCCACGCTGCAGCATATTGTTAGTTTCTTTAACGAGAAAATAGTCAATAACTAATCGCTTTCACGTTGCCGTTGGAACAAGTGACTTTTCATACGTGGTAGAGCCACACTGCAGCATATTGTTAGTTTCTTTAACGAGAAAATAGTCAATAACTAATCGCTTCCACGTCGCCGTTGGAACAAGCGACTTCTCATACGTGGTAGAGCCACGCTGCAGCATATTGTTAGTTTATTTAACGAGAAAATAGTCAATAACTAATCGCTTTCACGTCGCCGTTGGAACAAGTGACTTTTCATACGTGGTAGAGCCACGCTGCAGCATATTGTTCGTTTCTTTAGAGAGAAAATAGTCAATAACTAATCGCTTTCACGTCGCCGTTGGAACAAGTGACTTTTCATACGTGGTAGAGCCACACTGCAGCATATTGTTAGTTTCTTTAACGAGAAAATAGTCAATAGCTAATCGCTTTGACGTCGACGTTGGAACAAGTGACTTTTCATACGTGGTAGAGCCACGCTGCAGCATATTGTTAGTTTATTTAACGAGAAAATAGTCAATAACTAATCGCTTTCACGTTGCCGTTGGAACAAGTGACTTTTCATACGTGGTAGAGCCACGCTGCAGCATATTGTTCGTTTCTTTAACGAGAAAATAGTCAATAGCTAATCGCTTTCACGTTGCCGTTGGAACAAGTGACTTTTCATACGTGGTAGAGCCACACTGCAGCATATTGTTCGTTTCTTTAGAGAGAAAATAGTCAATAACTAATCGCTTACACGTCGGTGGTGGGAAAAAAGACATTTCGTAGGTGGTCGAGCCACGCTGCAGATAAATTACGGTTGTAGCACGAATGGGTTGGCTCGACCCGGGAAGGATCATGCTTTAACAAAATAATAGCAGCTTAATACTGCTGTGTTTCGTATTGTAGAGTTCCGGAGAACTCTTTTTACTGGAAACGAGGCATTCTATCTTAGTACTCAGGGTTGACAACGCATCTGATTCGTAAATAATATTAGGATAAATATAGATATCTATGGGCTATAGCATCCACTTACTATCAGGTGGACTGGGTGCTCGTTTGTCACCCATTTTTTATCAACTTATGAATTAAATTTATTTATTTATTTTATTTATGCGGTATTTTTTCTATTTAAAAAAAACTGTAATTCCTAGAAAACATTAGATGCAAAAATATTCAGCATCTCCCAATTTAAAAACACAATATAGGAAATGCCAGGAAGATCTCATAACATCCAACAGATATTAATACATATGACAATCTCTACACCAGATAAAAAAGGCTAGTCCAGAAGTGGGGAACAGTATCGAATGTTTGATATATGTGTTTCAATCATCATTCTTTCATTACAGTCTGTCAAAGTCCACTGCCAAACATAGGCTCTATATAAATTGTCCACCGCACCTACTTTGTTTCCTTCTGGAAAAATATCGTGATTTATTTCATGCAATTGCAGATTATATTTTGGGAGCGGCCTATGTTCATCAGTGAAAAAGAAGAAACAGTTGAAGAAATATTTACTATTCAGAATTGATCTATCGACATTTATTTATATGAATAAATATATTACATAGTTCTTCTACACGTGGTTGAATTTAAATGTTGTTCAATATTTTGGAAAATTAAAATAAATCTAGTAATTTGATACAGAGTTCTTAGCAGCAAAGCAAGAAAAGTTACCTTCGACCTCTTTAAAATAATTAATTTATACCGAAATACATTTTACAAAATAAAAGAAGCAGATGTATAAAAAAGTATATTAATTAAAAATAATTGATTACTAATGAACGAACGAGTTTCTTTTAGTCGATAATAATATACCGAGTCGAATTTATCGGTATCAAGGTACGATAGTGCTGGCTTGCCTAGCACCTTTCCAAACTATTAACAACAAACACTACATTAACAACAAACAAACAAACCTATTATTAAATGCCCTCAGAATGCTATTTGCGCAGGCAAGGACTCGCCGCAGCAAGGACGTGCTACGCTTTCGCATGATAGTATAAAAGCAGTCTACACGCACTATAATACTGTAAACGAGCATAATTGATCAAATCTTTCGAGTCGACTCACACCGAAAAAGAAAGATAGACAGAACTCTAAGTATTAAAACAAGGTACAGTAATAAAACAAGGTTCAAGTCACACTTGAACCTTGTTTTATCCACTTTTTCTAAACCAGACCATACAATTCGACAGCTGGATCACAGTTTACTCTCTTTAAACTGTGGCTACATGCATATCATAAAGACCAAAAAACCATATTGTTGGTGGCAAATGATTTTAAATGAATATATGGGTATGTCACTGCGTATTCTTAAAACAAGAAGAAATATTCATATTGTTTTGTCTATCTGTATTTTTTCTGTAGTGGAGCCACGCTGCAGCTATATCATAGTTGTATCACGAAAGGGTCGGCTCGACCAGGGCACGACCACGCTCTCACAGAATACCAGCGTAAAATAGCAGCGTAATGCTGCTGTGTTTATTATGGTGAGTGTAGAGATCTGGAGACCCTTTTTACTGGAATCGAGGCATTCCTTAGTCCTCAAGGTGACAACGCATTTGCATTTGAATCCTAAATTGAGGATAAATGTGGATGGCTATGAGCCACAGCATCCATTTATCACCACGTGGACTGAGTACTCGTTTGTTACCCAATGCTATAAGAAATCTGTCTTTATTAGTCTGAGGTTACGAATGCCTCTCGACTCACAGTGAGGAGTAGATTAGATAAAGTTGAAAAAATTTACATAATATAGTATAGGCTACCTTGTACTATAATTGGTGTCCTGGTACTGTTCAGTGGCAGTGTCGTGATATTGTGATTGATACCCGTAAGTGTCGTAACCATAACTTATATCTGGTACAGCTCTCTCGGGTTCTGCAGAAAAAAAAAGGTATTTATATCATTTACTAATAATGTTCAAACATTGGTACGTTCACGTGTTAGATCCATGCTGCAGATATATTATGGTTGTATCACGAATGGGTCGACTCGACCAGAAGGATCACATACTCACAGTGAAATGTTACTGTGCCACTCTTATAGTGTGTAGAACCAGAGACCCCTTATACTGAAAACAAGGCATTCATCTTAGGCCTCAGCGTGTTACAATGAAACTGCAGTTTGAATCTTAATCTAGGATAGATTACTATTGGCCACAGAATCCACTAACCATCAGGTGGACTGCATGCTTGTTTGTCAAACTTATTCGATTTAAATAAAGTATACAAAGTATTAAAATTTTTGTCAGTTTATAAGATTAAAACCGTCAAACAATATACGAGTTTTCATTTGTGTTTAGGTTATATCATAATGAATTTATAATTTGCCATATAGTGGATCTAAGGGAATCCACTACTTCATATTATAACGTGGGTATCGTAGGTGGCGTAGAGGAAAATGAAACAGAAATGTAAGCGATATTTGCCATGGTTGATGAGGAAATCTAATGAAGGAGAGAATGAATTAATGAATATTAAAAAAAATCTTTTACCGTGAGAATAGTGTTGTCGGTATGCCACATGAAATGCTTGGGCCACTTGTTTGTGAGTATGCCCAGTTTAAATTTAAGTAACAGCCCCAGAAACTTGAGCGGCGTTTAAATATGGAATTTGTGATAACAATGCACTCTTAACATGATAAACAAGGCAGTTAAGGCAAAAACTAAAAGAAAACCTAAATTTAAATTCAAATTTAAAAGTTGGCAATATTTTTCGAAGTATGAAAGAACGCAATATTAAGCAATAAAGTTAAAAACAAATAAAATTTAAAAAAAAGATTCCACAACTTTTGTCCTTTATTAGCATTTAATAACGTTTGTTTATAACAGGGAAAATTAAACCCTATTTTTTGCGTTCCTCTAAATTTGTCCATTAGTGTAGTTTATGTTAATAACTTCAAAAAACTACAATAAATATATAATTTAAATAAGTTATTACGTTTACTATATACTAACGACCCGCTCCGACTTCGCCTAGATAGAACCTAGAAATAAATGTTAGGTTATTTAGATTTAAGATAATTAGACCATTTATTTTATATTTTTTAATTAATCGCAAAGTTTTTTGAATAGAAATAGCCTCATTACTTTAGGAAATATCTGTTTGTGAAGTTTCTTTGTAATTGGTTCAGCCATTTCGAAGATTAGCCTATACAAACAGATATACAGGCAAAATTTTTAAAAATAGTATTTTTTTTTTGAAATTTTTCATATCTTAGTAGCAAATAAACCCCTCAGCAGAACTACGGCAGTTTTTTCTATATCATGAACAAACATAACAATTTTTTTATATGTATAAGATTATTCTTGTATATTACCTTGTTTGTAAGGCACGTGTGTATGTATAGTCACGTCTGAAGTAACAGACGTGACAGACGAAGCGGGAGGGGCAGGTGGCAGTCGTGACAAGCGCGGTGGCCGAGGCAAACGTCGGCCCCGCCGTGTGCTGCCATGATCACTGCCAGGTGGCAGCGGCAACGCACGACCCCGTTTCGGCGTTGATGACGGTGTAGCTGATGAAAAGAACTGTTTTATAAAAATGGATACACATATACATAAACCCACCCTTACGCCCGACCGACTACCAGGCTTCCATTAGGCTAAATCCTATTGTTTCTTTTACATCCGTAACATATCTATGCTATCAAATTGACTGCCTCGTTTGTATAGTGGCGGTAAGCATGACTGCTGATCATATGGTAACGTGTTCGAATCCCGAATTAAGTCAAAATGAAATTGGTTCGACCAATGAAAGAAAAGCGGGAAATTTCCCACTGAACAAGATGTTTAAGGTACTCAAGGGTCTAAACACCTTGTCTTTGTCCAGATCTGCTACATTGGTTTTTCCAGAATTCTCGTAGCATCATGAGGGCCGGAAGTTGGAGGTGTTTCACCATCTTAAAGAGAACTTAAAGCTGTTAGCACTGCGCCATATATGCCTCCGCCATATTACGATTGTCGTACCTTTGGACTATGTGAGTGAGGGAATAAAGAGTGCACCCGAGCTTGTGCAAACAGTCATGCATCATAATCCTATCCTGAGCAGATGACTAGTGTCTGTTGAGACTGGCCGCTGTGACCGAAATTCAATACATTATCTTATATCTACAAATACGTTCTTTGCAATTCATGCACACTTTTTCCATAAAAGTTTCTGATTAACGAAATTATGTACAAATATAAAAACTTAACATGAGGATATTATCAGTGAAGTTCCTGGAATCTGATCTGAATCTGAAATCTAGACGCGCCTATAGCAGCAAACGACCACCTGATCCTAGATGTCTGATTAACGGAATTTTATACACATATAAAAACTTAACATGAGGATATTATCAGTGAAGTTCCTGGAATCTGATCTGAATCTGAAATCTAGACGCGCCTATAGCAGCAAACGACCACCTGATCCTAGATGTCTGATTAACGGAATTTTATACACATATAAAAACTTAACATGAGGATATTATCAGTGAAGTTCCTGGAATCTGATCTGAATCTGAAATCTAGAAGCGCCTATAGCAGCAAACGACCACCTGATCCTAGATGTCTGATTAACGGAATTTTATACAAATATAAAAACTTAACATGAGGATATTATTAGTGAAGTTCCTGGAATCTGATCTGAATCTGAAATCTAGACGCGCCTATAGCAGCAAACGACCACCTGATCCTAGATGTCTGATTAACGGAATTTTATACAAATATAAAAACTTAACATGAGGATATTATTAGTGAAATTCCTGGAATCTGATCTGAATCTGAAATCTAGACGCGCCTATAGCAGCAAACGACCACCTGATCCTAGATGTCTGATTAACGGAATTTTATACAAATATAAAAACTTAACATGAGGATATTATAAGTGAAATTCCTGGAATCTGATCTGAATCTGAAATCTAGACGCGCCTATAGCAGCAAACGACCACCTGATACTAGATGTCTGATTAACGGAATTTTATACAAATATAAAAACTTAACATGAGGATATTATCAGTGAAGTTCCTGGAATCTGATCTGAATCTGAAATCTAGACGCGCCTATAGCAGCAAACGACCACCTGATCCTAGATGTCTGATTAACGGAATTTTATACAAATATAAAAACTTAACATGAGGATATTATTAGTGAAGTTCCTGGAATCTGATTTGAATCTGAAATCTAGACGCGCCTATAGCAGCAAACGACCACCTAAACTTAATAGAAATTATTAATTTTGTTCGTTCCGTTATTTCAATATTACACACATAGACACACCAATTTTATTTTTATGTGTAGATTACCTGGTAGACTTGCTGCTGTCCGCCTCGGCCGCGGCCTATAAGGCGCCATCTCATTATAATCCGAATAACGGGATGAAGGAGGCAACTGTAACAAAAAATGTATTTTTTCGTAACAACATCTCAGTTTATTTCTGTTTTAAATGAACTGGCAAATACAGTATCATCATACTGCCCAATTATAGCAATCAATCTATTCATTTATTTTATATTATACACCAGGTAAAGAAAATAAAAAAAACATGTGTGTACAGTTCACCCGTGGTAGAAGTAAAACCTTCGGATAATTGCTACTAATTTTACTAACTTTGTAATAGCGCCATCTGCTACATTATTTATATTACGAGTATTTATAGGTAAAGTCATTTTATCGAACCAAAATTTATTGATATGTAAAAAAGAATTACTGGTACGTAAAATAGGCATTAGATGGCCTAGACACCACTAATTTAATTAAATATTGCATCTCGTTCTTTCGCAAGCTAAATCCTATAGATGTATATGTTAGTCTCCTTTTGTTGTCGCTTTTTCGTTTCATAGAGTTTAAAATCTCAGCGATTCTAAAAAAGAAGAGAATTTCACTTCAATAAAATTGAATATTATATAAGATTATAGCGGTCAAAGTTTTAATGCAAATTATATTAAGCGCGATAGTACATTGACGTTCTTAGTAATAAATATACTAATTAATTCGCAACCATCCGCTTAAAAATACAATGATGTTTTTCACCTGGATTAAAGATCACCTCCCACCCTCCCTCAATTACGTGCACTAATCCCGTCACCGCTAATCCCAGCACCACTACTCCTAACACCACTACTTCCAGCACCACTACTCCCAACACCACTATTCCAGGAAAGACACACCATCGACGACAATACGACACGTGTTTCGCCTCTACACGAGGCATCTTCAGGTGATGTAGACTCTACGGCGGCTGACCGCTAAGTCATAGTTGCGGGCTAATAAAGTTCTTAGTAATCTTTATTAGCCCGTAAGAGTGTACCGCTGGACCTCTGGGCCCCTTTACATAAGGCAAGATTCGCGATTAATGCTGGACATGGTATTTTATATTTGATATGGACAGGATGGTTACAGCGCCATTCATCCGAAGCCGTAAGATCTTGTTGGCATTTCCTATAATCGCATCTTATGACACCTGCGATACGACATGAGATGATTGATTAAATTAGTTAAATTTATTACTTTTTACCACTTTTTTAATCATATTCTTGCATTATCATCCAAATTTCAGCTATATTCAAAATTTCAAGTTTACAGTTCATCGGGAAGTTAGTTTAAAGTCAATTACCAAATTCCACTCGGAACGACGGACAAACACGAAAGTGATTTAAAAATACGTGATATAACAAAAGATTTTTATTGGTTTATTATTAAAACAATTTAATATATCACGTCATTTAACATATATCTACATTGTTGTCCGATTCTGAGCTATGTTCAAAATTTCAAGTCATCATCTAGGAATTGCTCGAAATTTGAGTTGCGATTCTAAATGAGAGTTGAGATCCGAAACGACAAACAGACAGACAAACAAGAAAGTGACTTAATTAAAACGTGGTAAAAAGAAATTAATTGAATTTAAATAATTTCTTATGTCGCCACCATGCGGCAAGTTCAAGCTCAGCTTCAATTTTATTCTTGTAAGAAGTAAGTGGTAAATAGTAGTGGAAGGAATTTTTAAAAGTTATTTAATAAATATTTTTCTAAAGAAATAGATCTTACGAAAAAAAAATTGAGAACATATCCAACGGCTCTTTGGCGAAGGGAAGCATCAGCGTGAATATAAATATTCTTGCAAAGGTTAATCGATATTGTTTGAATTGTTTCCGAATTTTTTAAAATACAAAAAAGGCAGAGCTTAACAGCTAATAGTTAAATCTGTATGATAAAAGAATGAGAAATCATGCTCATTCTTCGTTACTGAGGAAGAGTGATCAAGAGCATATTCAAATAAGTTATAGTAAATTATTTGTAATTTTTATTTAAATTAATACTTGACAGGGCCAAATTACGGCGTACATTTGCAATATGGCGCAAATGTATGATGTCATACACTGGCCAATGTTTTAAATTAGTCGATTTATGACGTCATTTTCATTGGCCAGTACACTGGGTTCTATGTCGGAACACAGGCCAAAACAGCTGCGCCTATATGAAAATCGACGCACACTACGATAATATCGAAACGATGGCGCGCGCGAAATCAACTGACGCAGGTCGACCTCGACAAGCGCTCGCGCGATAGTGAACGCAGATGGCCGGCGCAGTGAAATATATGGTACTTTTATTAAATTAATTAAAAAATAATAATAACGAATTAAGAAGTAAAAATCGTAGTATAGTTTAAGCACATGTTGATGATTATTCTGGTATAAATTTTACGTCAAAATTATGTAGAACTTCGGAGATATTGGGGCTTGTATCGAAGCTTTTTCGGTCGTTAATTGAATTATGTCGATTTTTTTCCTTGCGTGAAAGGCATATAACGAAAATTTAAAAACTATAGGATACTTGTGATATAAAAATATTTTTTGATGGTCGATATTAATGAATGAATTGGAGCTCCCCATATTTTCAGAGTTTTGGCCCAAACATGCATCTGGAGAATGGTTATTACTAAATAAATAAATAAATTATCTAAAATTTGCTTTAAGATTATTTTAGTACAGAAAATGAGCTAGTTTTACCAATTGTTATTTCAGGCAACGAACGGAAATATACCTATAATTTCAATGAGGAAACCTTGCAATTTCGCGTTTTTTTTTTTTTGTAACACTCCTCTTAATACAAAATAATTTAAGCATGAATTGCTGACCTGTTTAGGCGGCAACTGAGGTAGCTGGACAACGGAGGAGCGTCGCTTGTTGACAGTGTTCTCGTATTCGGTGGTCGTGAGTCCGTAGCGGTCATCGTACAAGTACCGATTGCTGTCCCACGTTCGTGTTTCATACGGCCCGTACGGATAGCTACTTGAGTCGTAATATTCCTCATAGCTAGTCTCATGCGATAAATGCGAATGGTCCCTGTAACAATAATTAAAAATTGGTTGTATTTTGCGTTGTAAACAATATTATACTCAAATGCCTAAAACATTTTTCTATATGGATTAAAATTGTTTAGCATTTATCCCGGAAAGCAAATGCAATAACTCAATAAAGGAAAAACTATTAATAAAAAAACGTTGTAGTTGTTATTAAGATTTATTATGGGTGAATATAGGTTTTCCTTCTCTCTGGTTTCTGACAATGTTAATGCTTTTAGCCTTTTGGTTTTTTACAGCTTCATAGATCTCAGGGCCCGCGGCCTAAGAGATGAACTCCTGACCTTTAATACATTTCGCATCGTTACTTGCGTAACTGGTTGCATAATTCCTATGACAGTGAACAGTGAACGTGGGTGAGTTATCTAACAGCTGTCCGATAGCAGCGAGGTAGCGGGCACCGGCTCTGATGGCTAACTGATGTCGTTCGACGTTCTGGTCGGTGAGATCTGCCCGGGGACGCGGTTGTACGGTGTGTACGCGGTGGCGGCGCGCCTGTCTGTGGGCTCGCTGTGCCCCACTCGTTGTCCTAACAGTGTTTGCGGTACTAAGTGGATGTGTAGTATCTATGTGTGACGGGCTGGCGACATTTGTGTCGTCGGAGTCTAGCGGAACTGGGGGTTCGATTAAAACGTTACGGGGCCTCCGAAGGCTTTGCTTAAGGTTTGGAACCGGAGGGTAGGTTGCTGCGTTTACCATTAGCGAGTTGGGGTGTGTCTCAGCGCTCTTAAAGTAGCGCCGAGACATTTCCTTGAAATATTCAGAGATCGTGGGAAGTTGACAATCTCTGTGTAAGTCAGAGTTTCGTTGGTATCATTGAGCTCCGCTGGCGATTCAAATGAATCATTTTTGGAAGACTTGAAGGTCGTGCAAATGCCTAGGAGCCGCGTGTGTGAAGACTACGCTTGCATAGGTCATGATAGGTCTTACGCAGTCTTTGCAGAGCTGGAGTTTGTGTCTTAGGGACAGTTTGCTCTTACTGTTAACTAGAGCACGAGGCGACTAGTGACGAATTTGGCACGATTGTGGACGGTGCGAATGTGTTTAGCGTTTAGTGGTCGAATGTAACCCCAAGGTATTTGCCGGTTGATTGCCACGGGATCTGGCGTACGAATAGGGTGATCGTGCCAAGAGAATTTTTCGGATTTCGGTTCCGACGATTGACGGAGGGTTTCCTTCGAAAGTATCGTAAAGTGCCATGTCGTCTGTAAAGAGAGCGGTGCTGACAACTGAATCCTTTGGGATGTCACTCGTATAGAGTGTGAAGAGGAGCGGGGAAAGAACGGTGCCCTGAGGGACTCCAGCCCTGAGGGGGTGCTTGGAGGAGGTTTAAACAGCTTGTAAAGCAAGCCGTCGTGTCAGACTTTGTCGAACATTTTGGTGACCTCCAAAAAAGGGCACCGGTGTTACGGATTCGACCGTTACTCCTTGAGCGGGAGAAGCCCTCTTGGATGTATTCCGTAAGGTGGTGGATCTGATTAGTGCACGAGTGTTTGGGTCTAAAACCGAACTGTTCATCAGGAGGAAGCTTGTTGGTAAGGATGTATTTGTGGAGGCGATTCAATATTATACGTTCGTAAACTTTCCCCAGTGTGCTAGGGAAACTAATGGGTCTGTAGGTGGAGGCTAGGTTGTTTCGCTGGTTTCGGGATCTCTGGGATTTCTATACTATACGTCCACTTCTTTTCATGCATCCTGGAAGAGCTGGAGAGAAGAGCGTTGAAAATGCCTACTTGGAGGCAGACAAGTTACGCTGGATGTGATTTCAGCAACCTCTTGCTAATGGCGTCAAGTCCGGATGCTGATTTCTTTTTGAGGTTTTTGATAGTTTCTGTGACTTCGTCAACAGTAGCAGGATCTAAGGGGACCTGCAGGTGCTAGCGCAGACCAATGCTAGATCTCCGCTTCGACCTCTACAAAGTGAGCCGGATCTATGGGTTCGCTGAAAGGAGTGGAATGACTCTCTAAACTGTCCGCGAGGCATTCGGCTTTTTCAAAATCGTCAAATGCGAGATCGGGGTTTTTAGGTCTAATAAGAGGTGATATGAGTGAGGATTATTCTGCTTTCAGAGCTCATATGCTCCAGAAGGCAGTTTGGGATGGCTCGATGTCCTCCAGCAGATTATCCCACTTGTCCTGTCTAAATTCTGCAATGTGCTCTTTTACCTCGTTTTGGAGGTTACGCAGTCAAAATTTATTATCTATTGTGCGGATAATCTTCGCTCTGGTCAATTGTCGAATATCTCTCGGAAGCTTCAGGTGTCGATTGGTCGACACGCGAACCTTTTGAGAGCATTCTTTGACCGCTGTGGTGTGGTGGGCCGATAGAGCGTTAATCGCATTATTGGCTTCCTCTGACGACTCTATATTACTGGGAGGTCGTCGACTTGAGTTTGACCTCGAGCATATGCTATTCTGTCAAATAAAATAATAGGTTGAAGTCTCAGGCGTGATAACATCGTAGTTTAGTCTGTCCATAAGTTCGAACAATGCATTACCATTAAGATCGTTTATAAGCGAATTTATATATAATAATAAAAATATAATAATAAAAAATGATATGCTTCAGGTCAGGCAATACCAGGCCAAGGATTGTGCGCACCGTCAGGACGGCGTTTGCTCGGACAAATGTTAGTTTGTCCCAGCCGGATATAATGCATAAACTGACGGAGGCATAAACCTGAAGCAGAGAATCGCTGCTTGCGGATTTGACGATATACCGAGAGGTCGACACGGTTCAACCAGAATCGTCTCTTCCAGAGTGATCGGAAGAGGTTCTATAAATCATTGGAGCGACCAATGGTAAGTGGAACGGGCCCAACACCGATATCATTCGGATTCGGGCATTCTGGCGCAGCCTGTGGTCAGAGCCCGTAAACCACAGTGAGGGCCCTTGGGCGGAAGTTGTGGCGGGTCAGTGGGCGGGTATTACGCCCATGGACTCTGTCATCATAACGCTGGATGACGTAGCCGAGGCGGTCCCGGTCTCGGTCCGAACTGGAAAAGTCCGGGGCTTGACGAGCTGCATCACTACTGGCTGAAGGGGTTCATGGTGTGTCATGCTGTGCTCACCCGACAGTTACAAGAGGCTCTCAACCAGAAGTCACTCCCAAGCCTCTTCACTACTGGGATCACTCATTTGGTTCCTAAAGACCAAGGTACCACAGACCCGACCAAATACCGCCACATCACGTGTCTACCAACCTAATACAAGACACTAACGTCCATTTTGAGCGCGAGAATCACTCGTCACCTGGACGCAAATCAGGTGATGTCGCCCCAAAATGGATGTCGGGGCGGCAGTCGTGGAACCAAGGTACCACTCCTCATTGACGCGGTCATTGGCTAAGTGGTGAAACGCAACCGTCGGAACTTCTCCGCCGCCTGGATAGACTACACAAAGGCATTTTACTCGGTGCCTCATACATGGCTAAAGAGGGTCCTCGAGCTGTACAAGTTTGACTGTACAGTTCGAGACTTCTTCGGGCAGTGTATGGGGCAGTGGAGTACGATCCTCTGTCATCTAGGTGAGCGGATGACGGCTGCGGAAAGCCGCATAAGGATAAGAAGGGGTATATTCCAGGGCGACTGTCTGAGTCCAATCTGGATCTGCCTCGCTTTGAACCCTCTCAGTACTTTACTGGAGGGCTCCGAGAGGGGATTTCAGCTTCGGAAAGGAGGTACAAAAGTGACCCACCTTTTCTATATGGATGACCACAAATTATTCGCCTCCAGTCGCTCCCATCTTATGGAATTGCTAAACATCACTTGTGAATTTAGCAATTCCATAAGAAGACCGCATGGAAGGAGAAGGAGCTCCACGGTAGGTACTACAGGGCTCTACATGAGCCCTTCGTAGATACAGTCGCCTTCCTCAACTGGCTACGTTTCGGTGACCTTTTCGGGTTAACTAGTGCACAAGGCCGAAACCGAGGGTTTTGTCTGTGCAATACAGGATCAGGTTATTAAGATCAACAACTATCAGACATACATCCTAAAGGAAAGCACCGTCGACGTCTATCGCTTGTCGCCATCCCGGTGAGTCACTTAGGCATGTCATCTCCGGTTGTTCGGCGCTTTCTAACTCTGAGTACTTGCACAGGCACAACCTAGTAGCCAGAATTCCACATCAGGAGCTCGCTCTGAAATACGGTCTCGTGAACCGGAAATTGCCGTATTACAAGTACTTGCCGGAAGCCGTGCTCGAAAATGAGCGCGCCAGGCTCTACTGGGACCGGGCCATCATCACACACAGGACTATTCTTGCGAATAAGTCTGAAATTGTGCTGATGGACCGGGCAAAATCAAGGATATTTTTGGTCGACATTACCATTAGTATGACGAGAATCTCGTGAAAGCCGAAACAGATAAACGAACAGAATATCTGGACCGGGCTGACGAGGTGCTCGACATGTGGGGTGGTCTGCCAGCCGAAATTATTCCTGTAGTCGTCTCTGCGAATGGGTTAATCCCAGTTAGCCTCTCGGGTCATCTGAGGTGACTGGGACTTCGTGACGGACCGCTCCGGTCTCAAATGCAGAAGGCGGTGCTCCTCGATACCGCCCGCATAGTCCGTCGGTTTCTTTCCCTTTCCTCCTAACCCTCGGCCGTTTGGTCTCCCCTGCCGAGGACTTCCATCTGGTTGGATCTTATTTATTTATGTATTTTTTGTATTTATTTTATTTTATTGATATTTATGTATATTTATCTTTTCATTTTAATTTATAATTATATATTTATAGAACCCAACCAGATGAGAAAATTATATAGATACCCCCATAAAAATATAATAATACAGCTATTATAACACTGGGGCCTAGGTTTTGTAATTATAAAATGTCTGATTATATAATAAGCTTCATTGACTGTTGGTATGCCGAAACGATGGTAAGTGGCGGATGGCCGGACAGAGCTACTTTACATATAGAGACTTCTATGTTAGCTAACAGGGGAGCGTTGATCGGTACGCAGTGCAAGTGTGTTATTTTTTATTTAAAAATAACACTAACATAAAAATTAAATAAAAAAAACAATGAACAATTTCGCAGCCAGAGCAATAAATTTAAAGATGTTGCACCCGTGAGGGCACGACTGTGTTGTTAACGGTACTAACTAGACGACCGCGTGACGCGGTCGGCAGAGGTGAGAGGGGTAGTGATCGAATTTCGGCATCGGGCAACTTTCTGCGCGCGGCTAATATTATAAAGCCAAATATGGTCAAATACATTGACTAAGCTTCATTCATTCATTATAGTCTATCAAAGTACACTGCTGAACATATGTCTCCCCACGCAGACTGCCTAATACAAGTATAAGGGAAACTTGCTATAGATGCCAAACTTGTCTTATAATTAGACACACGTTAGGTACTGCCCAACACCTGGTTTGTTTTGCTATGTCATCATTTACGTTACCCAAGCAATGATATGAGGTAGTAGATATTCTTACACCACCACTACACGGTTAGCTTAACAAAATCCTATTCACTCTTGTCCTAAAGACATTTTAAGCGGACGGGAAAACAGATGGTGGTAAACCGTTCCACTCTTTTGCTATACACAACATTACGAATGACGAAGCAAACTTTTGATTCAAAGACATATGTAAACAACAATTAACGAGATGAAGGAATTAAATTTTGCAATTTCTGTGCACGTCGAAAGGCTGGAGTAAAGACGACAGTGCTTTAAATCTGAAATCATGGCGTTAATGGATTTTTTCACATTTTTTACCTCATGATATCCTCGGTTTGAATTCCAGTCGGGTCAAAACCAGATATTTAGTTTTTCTATCAAGAAATTTTCTGTAGTAGCCGGAGTCAGGTAAGCTGGCGGTGTATCAGCCCCGTGGTTGGGAAAGAACCTAAAACCGTTGGTCCTGCGCCTGATCTCTCTCTCTTAATGTGTCCGATTAGCATGCTATCGGAATATGAGAGTATGAAAATAGAGAGTGCACATATAGCGATATTTTATTAAATTATAAATATAATAAAATAAAGTAAAATCCTACATACCTAATGTACGCAGTGCTCGTGGTGTAGGCATCGTATCCGTAACCTATGTTGTCGTCATATAAAGTGTTCTGACGCTCTAAACTTGGCCTCCGTTGCTCCTCTAAAAAAAGTAAACATTTCACATAAGAAACACATTCTTTCACAACTCGTCCGCATTTATTTATACCTTTTCAATAAATCAATATACAATTCTTTGTTATGCCACACATTGAACAAAAACTAAATTTAATAAATAAAGACGATACATTAGCCGGTTTTATCGCTCTTTCCAGACAACCTTTTTGCGCAATAACGAATTACGAATAACTAGGTACCTATGATGATGTGCATAGATTATACAATTAAAATAAAATAAAATAAAAACACAAGATGTAAGTATGATGGGAAATATTAAATCTCCAAGTTTTAAGCTTCAAAAAGATTTTAACGTAAAAAAATGATTTAGCGAATATGTGACAATAGGCAAGGCGTTCCAAAAGCATTCAATTGTAACAGACAATGAAGGAGAATGAATTTACTACAGAATGAAAGGAAGGCCTTTGATACTCCTTGCCCGATGACATCAGAAAAGCACCCAATAAGTACGGTTTTAAAAAGTTGGTCCGTGAACATCTATTACAGACAGACATTTACGTGACTCATCCATTTAATATGTATTGCGAAGCAGACGTATATATTCGTAGTCATTTGTATGTACTAATTATGTATGTATTTAAATAGGTATGTATATTTGTATGTATATGCATGCATTTATATATTTTTGTATATATGTGTGGATAGATCATATAGGTATAGTTGATTTATTAGTAGTATATAAGTATTATGTAGTTAATTATCATTTGTTTTATGTTCTTTTATTCTATATTGCCACACCTACGTCAAATTCTCACCACTCCATGGGTTGACTGGTAGAGAATGCCTCAAGGCATTAAGTCCGCCCTTTGTATTTTTTTATTTTAGGATGCAATAAAAAATAAATAAATATGTATGACTTACGAATTCTCCATAGACACTTTATATAATATTGTAAACAATTTATGTTGATTAAAACTACTTTTACGGATTTTATCGCGTTTTATTTATATTAATTTTAATACCCGACGTTTCGGGTGCTTTCCAGCACCCATGGTCACGGCAGACTGAGGTGACTGACGTCCCGATGTCAAAGTTAAACCGGAGTACCTTCAGCTTTTTAATTATTGTGTTCCGGGAAGTCTGCAGTTGTGTGGTTTGTGATCATATTCTAGATGGCCCCAACCATTACATCAGATTTGATAGACCACAAATCTTCGCGAAAGAACATCGATTCCTACCAAGGATGATACGTGAGGCTATTGAAATTAAAAAACATCCTAATTTCAATAGAGAAGGAGGCTGGGTACTACCACCTGCTTGGGATCCTATAATTAATAAAATTAAAACTAAACCGAAGCATACCACTGCAAGACTTCAAAATACAGTTAGTTCATTCTGCATAGATCGGACCAAATATAATAATTAAAAAGCTGAAGGTACTCCGGGTTAACTTTGACATCGGGACGTCAGTCACCTCAGTCCCCCGTGACCATGGGTGCTAGAAAGTACCCGATACGTCGGGTATAAAAATTAATGTAAATAAAACGCGATAAAATCCGTAAAAGTAGTTTTAATCAATGTATAGTGTTCGCGTAAATATAAGAAATCATTAACAATTTATGTTATTAAGCTAAAAATACCCTAGACCTACGAACGTTTTATTGTGTTAAATAGTAAAAAGATTTTCACCTCCCGATTGCCAGTCAGCAGCGGTTCGCCACGAATATGCGGATTCGACGCTTACTTGCGCTTGCATCTGCGACCATGATTCTATCCTGTAATTACAACACAAAAATATAATTAAGTAAAAGAAAAATATTATGATTTCCGATAGGTGACAGTGTAACCACCTCGTTTACATCAAACGTAAAATAACCCAGACCGTGACAGTTTCACGTGGTAGAGCCATGCTGCAGTTATATTAGTAGTATAATTGTAGCACAAATGGGTCGACTCGATCGGGGAAGGACCACGCTCTCACAGAATACCAGCGTAAAATAGCAGTTCGTTGCTGCTGTGTTTCGCATGGTGAGTGTAAAGAACCGGAGACCCATTTTACTGGAAACGAGGCATTACATCTTAATCCTCACGGATGACAACACATCTGCATTTTGATTTGTTATCGAGGATAGATGTAGATGTCTATGATCCACAGAAACCACTTACCATCAGGTGGACTGTGTGCTTATCTGTCACCCCAATCGTATAGAAAAATAGAGTGTAGTCGAAGATGGGAGACATCTGGTGATTTGATAGGCAATCAGCTTGCCGAGCGTGACGATTAAAGCATGTGAGAGAGGCCGTACAACGAGAGAGGCCCGTATCTGGCAAAGGACTTTTTTGGACTGATAAAAAAGAAAAATTAAGAAGCTACAATTGACATGAATTATTTTCGTACTTTAAGTACTTTACGTAAATTATAAACCAATGAACTAATAATAAAAAAAACACGTGTGCGGTTTCCACGCGGTAGAAAACCATCAGAAAAATAAACTTCGAGAGAATGAGACGAATACTGAATGGTTTACAAAATTAAAATAGAAATAAATTTATAATAAACACTGTATACGGGAGTCTATTCGTTTTAAATCAAGTTAAAGACATAAATTATACATATGGCTGGTGATCTAATTACCATTCTTGAGAACTAGACAAAATTTCTTCCAACAATTTTTGTTCAATTTATAGGCTTATATATCGATAGACTGTGAAGCCTCTTAACTAGAATTGACATAGTGCGGCGGGCGGCATGCTTTTCCCGCTCTAATTCCCTATTCAATAATAAAAGAAGGCACGTGGAAGTATCCAAGCTGTTTTTAACTTTATTTTTTATTATGTTTAATACCTATTGTATTTTTATTTACTACTAGCTGAGAGTGATAAACGAACACTGGCCTACTACCATGTACCAGAAAGTAGGTGGTCACTGTTAATAATTCGTAGCGCTATATTATCCCTTGCTCAATATGGGATATAAATTCCTTTATAACCTTAATGACTGAGATGAAATGCTTCGTTTCTCGCAATTATATGGAGAGGAAGTTGAAAAGCTTTTTGCAGAGTGATAACAATGCTTAGGTCTTCCATGTGCACAGTGACAAATGTCGTGGTATTGTTTTAATTTATGGCAATCGATAAAAGAGCGTAGCAAATAGCTCTCGAAGACGCCCGCCCGCTCCGCCAGGCACGCACACCGTCACACTGTGCATGTACGAGTACCAAGACGAACCACATTCAAATGTCGACCGCACTCATGAGTTGCAAAAACTATAACAGCCTACATAAGTTCCATTGCTGGCACAGGCTTCCCCTTTTGTTTTAAAAGAATAAAGGGCAAGATTAGGTAACAAGTATTGCTAAGAACTAACCTATTAGTCCTCGGCTGACTGTTGTAGTACAAAGGGTCAGTGTCGCCATGCATGTGGTACTCTTCCCTCTCGTACGAGTTCTCACGAGATGCCTCCAAAGACCTCTGAAATAAAAAATATCAAATTTTACTATATACAATTACTCGATAAAGAATTTAATAATATACTTAAACTTTTATGTAGATAATCTCGCCACAAAATGATGATTTATCAGCCTCTTACAAGTCTACTGTTGCTATAAATAAAAGGTACAAACTCGATCGAATATAGAAGGTTGAAAAAACATATAAATAAAGCATTTATTAGATGATTTTCCAATACTTATCACACTGAGACGACCCACATGATGGTGTACTTCCACCTATCAAAAAATTATACAAAACAAATTTTGCAAACTTCGTTGTTACTTACAAAGCTGGATAAATTAAAAACGCTACAGTCTATATACGTTCTACTTCTTGTCACAGGCCTCCCCCTCATTTCTGAAAGGGTTAAGGGCAAGGAACTGTCTGCGCTGCTCCAGTGCGTGGTGGCGAACTTCACATGTTTTCGAAATTTTTGTTCTTATTTCTCAGACATGCAAGTTTACTCACGATGTTTTCCTTCACCACCGAGCATATAGTATCGATCACTCAACACTTAAATTTGCAATTAACAATTTCATTGGTGTCAGCAGGGATCGAAACCTGGTTTGCTCGCGTACTGTGAAATTTATAGCGAGCGCTAGCCATTTGAACTAGACTCTATAATAAATTCTATCTTAATATTATGTATAATTGAACAGTTTCTTTAAACCTTTTTTGCTTGCATTTGCATTTGCATTGCAATGCATTTATGACCAGTTTTAATTATACGATAAACCCTTTAAAAGTTTTGAACATCGCGAAGAGTTTATAGAATCACATTAGTTTTCAAAATATCAATCTTTCGTTCCTTCGGTTATCTTATTATTTAAAGATGATTTTCTTTGAAGATACTTGACCTATATTCTAAATTTAACATAAACAAATAATGACCTATGGATAAAAATAATAAACAGCATCGTATAGACCGAAAAAAGCCGATTGGAGCTTTTATTCCTAATTTTGACACTGTTCCGATACATACATATATTATGATAGCAATTATTCTTAATGAGCGGACAGTAGTTGACAATAATTTTGTAATCATGGTGGAGTTGAGAACACAAAACAACCGTTTGTCAAGTCTGTCTAATTTGTAATAGGTTGAGAGGAGTCAAACTTAAGATTAAATCAGGATATAAAACGTTACAGCCTCTCAAAGTAAATAAGTAAAAAGCACTCCAAAATTTTCTTAGACAGATTGTAATACTAACTTCATACTAATCTCATTACCATTTTCAGGAGCCATTTTTTACGTTCCCTATCATAATACGTTTGCTCATTAAATGTTAAAAAGGCGAATCACGTAACTGCAAGCAATTATCGTATATTACGTTGACTATGAAGGCAATTTCTATGACCTAGATCACTAATGTTACTAGGCTTATCAATTATATTTCTATAGTAATTTATGTTTCTTAAAATTGAAAAACACTCTTTACAACTGAAAAAAAATTATGACGGTTTTGTCAGTGACACGGGCAGCTCGATCCGTGTAAAACCACTCTTGTACAGAATGCCAGCGTCAAATAGCAGCATAACGCTGCTGATCCGTATGGTATGTGACGCGAATCGGAGAAATCAAGGATAACATCATATCTACATTTCATTTCTTAATCGAGAACAGATGTAGGTGTCTCTGGTTTACATATCATTCACTCATCACCAAGTGACTTTCCTGGTCGTTTCTCACCTTTACTGTATGACAAACGAGCACACAGTCCATTTGATGGTAAGTTGATACTATGTCCTATGGACATTTAAATCAAAATACCGATGTCGTCACCAGGGGTGTCCAGAACTAATGTGGAATGCCCTGTTTTTCAGGCAATGTGCAATTTTCTGTAACAAGGTTTTCCGATTCTCTTACACTCACCATAGTCATAGCACCATTAAGCTGCTATTCTACGCTCGTATTCAGTGAAATTGCGGTCCTCTCCCGGTTAAGCCAAACCATTCGTGTTACAAATATATAGCTGTAGCTATATATTTGTAACTACGAATGGTTTTTTTCTATCTCATCCAGATCCAGAATATCTTGGATACCGTATCATTGGAGTTCTTAAACATATAACAGACTAATTTTCATGTATCGTTTAATAAAATATTTTTTTAAATCTTTTATAAAATCATCACAATTCACCTGTGGTGTATGTATTTGATGCGCTGCACTCCTGAATTGTGACGCGCTGCAGTTGGCATGTTGTCCTACAGGATAATTTAGATCCGACGTGTAGTCGGAGTCTTCGGAGTAGCCCGCTGAAACAAAATATGATCGTTAAAGAAAACTTATATATGTATATATCTCAATATATATAAATTACGTCACGTTGTTTGTCCGCGATGTGCTCCTAAACTACTTAACCGATTTTAATCAAATTTGCACAACATGTGCAGTTTGGTTCAACTTGAAAAATGGGATAGATTTTTTTCCCATGAGTAATCCACATTTTTTTTGCGAATTTAAAGATTTTTAACAGCACATGGCAAAGGGTCGTCGAAAAGGGCAGAAAAACGTCTGCCTGGAAAGCTAGTAATGTATATATAATATATTTTAATACTATTTATCTTCTTCATCAGACAGCGAACAGTACCCTGTTGGATATCTCCACTACTATTTTTAGGTGGATTTTGTTGATTAGAATATTAGATACTTCGCATTAAGTAATTTTTTTTAAATATCGGCTTCATCAAATGATTTTTGGTGGTAATTGTACGACTTAGGGACACTCAAGCAACGCATCTGCAATTCCCGTGGTTTTGTTGTTTTTCATTGGTGGCCGTAATTATTTGACATCAGGTGATCCGCATGCTCGTTTTCCTACCTCCGCTCAAACAAAAAAGAAAAACCTATTCGTTCTGATAGTAAATGATGAAAGTTGTGATTTTTTCAAAAAAAAAAGCTGATGAAGAAGCTGAGATGATTTCTAGTATCTAACGAGAGATAATCCGTGAAATTAGTTTTTGTGTTCATTAAAATAAGCGTTTTCATCCCTAAAATGTATTCTCTTGTTAAATTAATTTCAGTAATGTGTTTTTTGTCTACATAGCAACGTGATTCGTAGTCTTGCCGACAGAAATTTACATAAAAAGGATAGGGAGTTGAATCAATTACGAGTACTACTTACACCAGGGTACAAAGAGTTTAAATCGAACAGCGAATAACGAATATAAATATAAAGAAGTTGAATAGATAAAAAAAGCCATGATAAGTCATGTATCATTGGTTATGATAACTCAGGTATCGGTGGTCATTATAAGCACACTGTTTATATTTTCAAAGTACGGGAGTAAATTGAATTCTATCCCCGCTAGTACGAGGGCGGCACTGAAAATTTCTGGAAAGAAAGTGACACAACGTTACTATTTAAAAATGTGTGGCCGAAGTAGGAAAATGGGAGATCTCCCGCCGGGCAAGGTGTTATGCCCGGGAAGCGGCCACACTCCGTGTGATAGTTCGGATATGTTCTATATATACTGTTTATGATTCGGAATGTTGATAGCGTGATTTAGGCTTCGGTGTGTTTTCGCTTGTGGCGGCGACGACAGCGCCGCTACATCACCCCCTGCCCAGACCGGAGGTCGTTAGTGCAGCCTTGTTGCCGACGAATGTGCAAGTGCCAGTGGATTGCCTTGTAGTCTGTGGTGAGTCGAGAAGAAGGCAAGTAATCTGCGAGAGTGCCGTGAAGCAGAGGCGAGCAGTAAGGCTCAGAGCCGTGCCGAACACTGTATAGCGCAGAGAGTAGCTTGAAGGAACAGGAAGCATTATTATTCCAATGCTGCGATGAACCTTGTGAAGCTAGATGGCTTGCAGGATATGAAGACTGCAGACGATATCTGCTCGGGAGCGATACGGTGGGGTATTATATGACGATGATGAAGCTTGAAGTTTCCGAAGATTTTTTGGTTGCGTTTAGCATTGCTTTTCGAATTATTCTCCGCGAAATTTGACACATTTTTTCCATACAATGGACCCAACTATTGAAGCAACCATTCCATTCGGAAGTCGGGGTCTCCACGTCCACGTCCACAGCTTTTTCAGGTGATGAAAATCTCTGTACACGCAATTTATTCTTTATTTTAGGGAAAGTATAGAAATCATTAGGGCTTAGGTCGGGGCTGTACGGCCGATGGGTGTTATCTTGCCCTAAAAACTCTTTTGTTCTATGTGCGGTGTGAGAACTCGCATTGTCGTGATGGAGGATGATGCGGCGGTTACAGTTCTCTTTACGGAGTTCAGAAACGACCTGCGGAAAACAAATGCTAGCATACTATTCTGCATTAACCGTTATTTGTCCCTCAAAAGGAATAGTCGTAACATGGCCGCTTTTGGAGACAAACGTGGCCACCATTTTTTTTTAACACTCCGTGAACGAATAATTTTTGATGGTTTTAACTCATTTTCGAACACCCAAACTCGTGACTGGTTTTTTCTTTCGGGTTCGTACGCGTATATCCAGGATTCGTCACCTGATACGATGATGTATACAGCATTTGAGGATCCTGCGTGGAATCTTTCGAGAGTTCTGAAGCACCAAGTAACGTGAGCCGCTTTTTGCTCTTCACAGAGCGAATGCGGTATCCATCGGGAAAACAACTTTGTTACATATCTAATTATTCATGCAAGATTATTTGTATTTGACTCATGCCAATGTCTAAAGTTGCTTGAATTTCACAGTATATCACATGTCGATCTCCCTTAATCAGCTTACGCACAGCATCAACGTTTTCTTGGGTGACCGCAGTTTTTGGACGAACTTGACGGGGATCATCATTGAGCGTGACACGTCCACGTTGAAATTCAGCAAACCAGCGACAAATTGTGGGTTTGGATGGGGCTTCATCACCAAATGCAGAAATCATCCGGTCAACACACTATTTTTGTGTTAATCCACTTCGAAAGTCATAATAATTATCGCTCTTGAATTTTCTCGAGTCAATTCCATTTTCTCAACGACTAAACAAGTTTGACAAAACCTTGTAACAAGACCGAAAATCTTTTTTAAAATAAATAAATTGTATTCGATTTTTAAACCCAATAAAGTTTTCAATTAAAAAAAATTTTAATATTACAGGAACAGTGGAAATATTCCATTCCCGATACTTTTAGTGTAGCCTAGGTACTACCATTTACACGCGGTAGAGCCACGCTGCAGTTATATTATGGTTGTAGCACGAATGAGTCGGCTCGACCGGGGAAGGACCACGCTCTCACAGAATACCAGCGTAAAATAGCAGCTTTAATATTGCTGTGTTTCGTATGCTGAGTGTAGTGATCCGGAGACCCTTTTTTACTGTAAACGAGTCATTCGATCTTAGTCCTCCGGGGTTAAAACGCGTTCTGATACTTAATCGAGTATAAATGTAGATGTCTATGGGCCATAGGATACACTTACCATCAGGCGGACTGTGTGTTTGTTTGTCACCGTTATTATTTAAACCCGAAAGGTCCTCACGACTAACTTCCCAGTGGAAAAAATAAAAAATATCATGTTTTAATATTTTATACAATTTTTACCGATTTTGACTTTACAAAAAACGACTTCACCGATTTTGCTCAAAATTTAATGAGGTCTAAGTTACATAATTATGCATTAAATGAAACTGTTCCCATGTCAATATCAATCTTTGTTCTCGAGATACACGAGGCGAAAATTGATTCTGAACATACATAATTATAAACGTACATGTGCACACAAGGACATCCTCTTAAAAACCATACTATTCGACTCTATAGACCTTGAAACGTGGAGATATGTTAAAATTTCCAATTTGCAAAATCGGACCCATTACCATAACAATTTCCCACTGGGAAGTTAAAAAGGAACCATGGTAACTAAGATTTGCTACATTAAGTGTTGATTTACATTACTAGCAAAATTTAAAACATTGTGGTTCCATTGATTCCATCCATTAGTCTATATATATCATCATCATCATCATTACAGCCCTTCACAAGTCCACTGCTGAACATAGGCCTCCCCCAAGTAATGCCACAAAGCACAGTCCTGAGCCACCTGCATCCATCGACTTCCTGCATATCTTACCAGGTCATCACTCCATCTAGTGGGTCGCCCTACACTACGCCTACCGGTACGAGCCTGCCACTCGAGAACCTTTCTTCCCCATCGGTTATCGGTTCTTCGAGCTATATGGCCGGCCCATTGCCACTTCAGCTTACTAATCCGTTGGGCTATGTCGGTCACTCTGGTTTTACTGCGGATATCCTCATTTCTGAGTCTATCACGCAGAGAAACTCCGAGCATAGCCCTCTCCATAGCTCGCTGAGCGACCTTGAGCGTCCTCATACGGCCAGCAGTGAAGGACCACGTCTCTGATCCATAAGTCATCACTGGCAACACGCACTGGTTGTACACTTTAGTTTTCAGAGATTGAGGTATACCTGACGAGAAGATGTGTCGTAATTTCCCGAACGCTGCCCAGCCGAGTTGAATCCGTCGATTGACCTCTCGGTCGAAGTTGGACTTACCTAGTCGGACTATTTGTCCCAGGTAAACGTACTCGTCAACAACTTCGAGCATAGTGCTCCCAACAACTACCGGCATAGGTGTGACATGGACATTAAACATGATCTTTGTTTTGTCCATGTTCATCTTAAGACCTATCCGTTGGGAGGCACTATTGAGGTCATTGAGCATAGTGCTTAAGTCCTCCAGCGATTCTGCCATAAGGACTATATCGTCGGCAAATCGAAGGTGAGTGATGTACTCGCCATTGATGTTAATACCGTATCCTTTCCAGTCCAGTAGCTTGAAAACGTCTTCCAAAGCAGCGGTGAAGAGTTTCGGGGATATAACGTCACCCTGTCTTACACCTCTCTGCAGTTGGATAGGTTTCGAGCTCTGGTTCTGTACTCGGATAGCCATCGTAGCCCTACTGTACAAACACTTCAGCACTTCGATATACCGATAGTCAACTTGGCACCGCTGAAGGGACTGCAGCACCGCCCAAATTTCGACGGAATCAAAGGCTTTCTCATAGTCCACATACGCCAGGCAAAGTGGCAAATTGTACTCTTCGGTCTTCTGTACAATCTGCCGCAGGGTATGTATGTGGTCTATGGTACTGGAAGCCTTTTCGGAAACCGGTTTGTTCGGGAGGCTGGAAGTCGTCGAGTCTGCGTGCGAGACGATTCGTAATGACTCTCGAAAACAGCACGTAGACGCGGCTCAGAAGGGAAATCGGTCTGTAGTTCTTCAAGAGAGCGTTGTCGCCTTTCTTAAAGAACAAGACCACCG